TCCAAAATGATAATACTTGTGCAAATTCATTCTCATTGAAATCGAGAAGTTTGGCCAAAGGAATTGAATTAGGTCAACCTACCCATCATAGCTAATAAAAACATTGGCGTATTACGATTGGCAAAGGCTCATGGTCGATGTCTACAAGAACAACATCCCAAGAGCAAAGAATATTACTTAGAAACGTGTATTAACAACATAGTGTTAAGGGTGGTTGAATTTGTCAAAGTAGTAATTATTAGTTTTTATTTAAATTTGTACATTATTAAATTTGACTCATAAAATGAACTCTTGCAAGTTGTTATTGATTAGCGAGAAAAAATGTCTTGTATTGTTTGATTAAAAACATATGACATTACGATCATTCGACAAAATATTCAAATATGTCAATTTTTTGGAATATTCGTATAGAGTAGAATGTACAAATAAAAAAAAAATGTGCCAAGACCAATCAAATTCGACTTCATACCTTAAAAAAAGTTTCTTGACTTGTTTTAGCAACCTATGTAAATATACAGATTATTTTCCCCTTATAGATTTGTAAACTCAACTAAAATCCGTTATCCTGACTTGAGCACACGAACTTATGAAAGTGCAAATTAAAGGAATGGACAAAAAAATATATTCCATCTTATTCCAATGAATCAAAGAATTTCAAATGTTACAAATTTGAATTGTACGAGTATTTAAAAATAATGTCTCCAATAGAGGTCAAATTACATTTAATTAATATATGCTCAAAAAAATTTCGCATGGAATATATACGGCCGGCTATTCGAAGGCTCGTGTAACCTTTTCAACGACCGTGGGATGACGGAGATGACTCCGATAATGTTCCATACGACCATGTTTTTGTACTTTCTGGAACCTCAGTTCCAAAAAATAAATCCGATAAGTAATTATTCAAGTCTTCAGGGGCATATCTGACTATTGACTTCATCCCAATTTCCCTGTGGTTCATCCCCCTATGCTTCTCGTATAAGACCCGATAACCCGGAACTATTTTTTTTGCTAAAGAAATTTTGATTTCTTCTCTGAGCTTCCGATCGGGTATGACCCACCCGCTTTGTTTTCTGTAAGTCTCTTCGAAACCCGAATTAAATAGAGTAAAAATTTCCTTCACTTCCTGTGGAGAAAACTCAGCCGTTGGATTTTCGGGCAATGATGTCAGTACTTTAATCCAACCCATCCTTTCGTAGTTACTGGCGTATTGTTTGACCTTTGACTCGTGCTTCGAAATCCATTCGGATCCCATCAGGAGCCCCAGACTCGAGTTCCGGACTTTGGAAACGACGTAGTTTAAGTTGTTTGCCAAAAACAGATAAGATAAAGCCACGTCATTGTACAGCGTGGCCTTGCCGTCGAGCTTGCATAACAGGACTAAAATCAACCACGCCAGGCGGACGGTGACGGAGGATGAAGGATCTTCCGCGGAGGCGCCACCAGACATGGGACTCGAGAAATAAGATTCTGGCAGCGGAGTTTGAACATTCAATGGCCAGTCCGCCAATATGTCCGACACCGCGCCGCTGTAATCTCCGAGGAAAACCAAATAATTCATCACGTAACGAGTTAAGGGATGAACGCCGCCGGTTGAAGGCGTTTTGGAGGAGTCCTTCTGAATGGCTAACTCGAACTGAGCGAGCATAACTCGTATTGACTCACCGAGCTTTACAAGTGAAGCCACCGCCTGAGCTTTCACCGCCGACAATGAGTCGTAAGAGAAAATCATTTCAATTTCTGGCCAAAGATCTGAGATTGCTTCGTAGAGATCAAGTGCGCGAAACATTTTCTCTGGGGATAATATTTTCTTCGATTTGGCGAAATTTTCTGGGAATCCAAATAGATTAACTGCAGCATCTCTCAAGATTTCTGCAAAACACGATTCTGCAATTTTTTCTGAAGAAGAAAAGACTGAATCACATAGAATTCTCTCGCCGTAAAACAGATTTTTTACAGCAATTTTCACAGCGTGTAACCAGCTTTTGATTTTCGCTTCAAGAACATTCCAATCCATTTTCTGAATTTGAGAAGGGTTTATCTTTTCGACTCCCAAATTGTACAAACTCTCATCAATCATCGATTTTCTGATTAAATCGTAAATTCTAACACATTCTTTTCCATACCCAGATCCAATCATACAATCCGCTATGCTCTTCAAATCCGCTATAGCCAATAAAGAAGCCTTATCAGCTTCAGATAAAGAATTC